CAGCACTCCCTACCTTCAGGTCCCACCAATAAAATGCAAAGTCTTGTTAATAAAAAGCAAAATTCCCACTTAGATCTGCAATCCCAGAGCATTTCAGCACACAACCAAAGCCTCACACTGTCACCTTGGTCCCAGCCATGCCAGAAGTGGTGGCAGGCTTTTGGGGCAGCAGGTCCCTGCCCCAAACAGCCACCCTGGGAGGTTCCCAGCCCATCCATGGCTCTGGGGAAGCACCGATCACAACCCCCAGGTCTCCCTCCTGTCTGGAGGGGAAACCTCAGCACCTGAGTGAGCACAGACAGTAAGGATGGGAGCACTTGATTTTTCTCCAGGCAAGGTTTACATGCATCAGAGAGTGTGTGGCAGGCATTTAGCACTGACTTTTGTCTCCCTCTAGAATATCTGTCCCCTTTCCAAATAAAAAACCCAAAGTAGATATCCTTTTGCAGGAGTAAGGATACTGCTTCACATGCTGCAGCCTTTGGCTACCCTAATTATTTCCATGTACAGTAATTAGACACACTGCAATAGATACAGTGGAAGGAAACTGGATTGGTGAGAAAAGACCTGGGAATTCACTCAATCCCCTCACCATGCAGGGTTTTTTGAAATCATAGAAACACAGAGTCATTTGGGTTGGAGGGGACCTTAAAGATGATCCAGTTCCAACCCCCTGCCGTGGGCAGGGACACCTTCCACTAGACCAGGTTGCTCCAAGCCTCGTCCAGCCTGGCCTTGGACACTTCCAGGGATGGGGCATCCACAGCTTCTCTGGGCAAATATATACAGGTCTTCTCTGCCTCTGTGCCATGGGGGTTTACAAAGAAAGATTCACATGCTGGAAATAGTTGTTTTTTACAGCCTATTTCCTTAAGTGGCCAAAACACACCAGATTCTACCAGCCAACGCAACTGAGCACCAGGCTCTGAGCACCACGAATCATGGCCAAGGAAGCACACACATTAACCTACCTGTGGACTGGCATGTGTCACAAAATTCATGCCTGGGGCTGAGGAGAGAGCGACGGGGTGTGAGCCGATGGAGGATGCGATAACCCTGTACGGCGAGCCCAGCGCGTTCACCGGAGACCCGATCGCGTTCATGGCTGACGGCAGCGCCCGGGAGGTGTTTGCAGGGGGCTCGAGGTAGCTGTGGTGCCCGTCCACTGAATTTCCCGTGGAAAGGCTTGACGACGGGCTCACAGATGTGGAGCTGGCATGAACAGGGGAATCTACCGGGAGAAGCAGAAAGATGCAATACACCATGAGCAAGCCTGGCTGTACGGTGATCAGTGGTCCAGCCTTGGTTGTGGCAGTTTAGACTTTGGTCAAAGCTCAATGCCAGCCAGCAAACATGCCTTATTCTATAAAGGGAAAGACCAAAATATTGGTTATCGTACAGGAAATAGAGTTACTAAACCAACAAATCGTATTATGAAGATGATAATAATAATCAAATCTTCCTTTACTACTTCAGTGCCTCACTTGACTTGAAAGAAGGCCCTGCTGTCTGCCTCAGGCTAGTTTTCTCTGAACTATTCCTTGAGGTCCCATTTCTGTTGTCCAAGCTTGCTCTGGAGATAGCACAAATCCAAAGCCATGAAATCCCCACTGGCCAGGCTGGGAACCACAAGCCCTCCTCATGCCTTATGAAGCACTCTTGCTCCTTGCAGTGGCCCAGCAGACATCATGCTCAGCAGGATCCTCTTCCCATGGCTCAGATCTTCCCATTCCCACCCATTTACCTCTCCATCATTCATGCTATTTCACACATTCCTCCAGCTCTCAAAACTTGAAGGCTGCTTCTTCAGGAGAAGCTAGAGGAGTGCAGGACAGAGACTGCCCATGACAGACGAGCAACACAGATGACCAGACAAGGCACACACAAAATATTTTGTCCATTACTTTTCGTCACGTAGTACAAGACGGAGCAAAGGCTGTGGCCACACAGACACGCCTGGGCAGACAGTCTCACAGCTGCAAAGGAAGAGGGTTTTCCTCCTTCCACACTGAAAAGCTCCAGTGCACATTGAGCTCATGGAGCTACTGGGCTGCTCAGTTTGGCAATCTGCCCCTGAACCCCACCGGAGAAGAGGTGGCATAGAAAAGGAATATAACCTTGATCACTGCCACTTCAGGGCAGTCTCCAAGGCTGAACACCTCACCCAAGGCCTAAACACTGTCCAGTGTTTAAGTGTCCAGTGTTAAAGTGTCCATAAGACCAATCTCAAAGACTCAGAGGGTAGCCAGGCATCAAACACTCACTAGTCTCGATGGGTTACGTATCTAGCTGTATTTTAAGGTTTTACATGACCTTTTCTCCCTCCCCTAGAATTTACCAACCCCAGTTAGCATTAACTGTCATTAACATTTCAATGAAACATTGTTCCTCTATTGTTTTTTCAACACAGGAGACCATTCCCTAAAGAAGCAAGACAAAGATGTTGTCTGGGAAGGTCACACAGTTGGTTTTCCATTGCTGGCACAGAGGATGCTTGTTCCCATTGCATTTGCAAGTAAGGCAGCGCTTTGGTGTTTTGTTTGGTTGGGTTTTTTCCTCCCTTTAACATTACTGCAAAGTTATTTACGTGACAGTGTTTGTTATTTTACCTGAAGTAACAATCAAATCTGATTCAAAGGGAAGATGCACAATAAAGACGGGAAAAGGTCAGCTTGCTGAATAACATTAAAGACATTTGTCAGAGTCAAGGAGGACTCGATTCACCGTTATCAACCCACTTCAGACTTAATTCTGCAGAGGGAGGGGGAGAAAAGGTCTTTGTCAATTCTTGCTTTGGCTTTTTGGATCAATTCTCCCAGTGGGAAAGCGATGTGCAGCAAGAGGAAGCCAGCTCAATGACAACAGCAGAAGCCTTGGAGGCAGCGAGGCGGTTTGGAGGCAGAGCCAGGGCTTCTGCCTGCTGCTGGAGAGACTCACCCCACGTCCCCCTGCCACCGTCACGGAAACACGCAGCTTGTTTTGTTAGTAGACAGCAAAATCCCTACCTTGTAATGGCCTCCAGGTGCAAAACCCTTTCACCCCGCAGACAGGAAAGCCTTCAGCAGTGGGCAGAAGATGTGCTGTTTGCCTGGCCCCCAGCTCACCTAAAAGCTCGGCTCACAGAGGCACCTCCGTTGCTTCCTGGGACTTAAAAGGAGCCTCCTGACTTATGCCATTATCAGCTTCAGAAAAGCAAATGCATTTTTCATCACCTGCGAGCAGCCTGGTGCCATAGCATGCAGTCCTCCCCAGCATCTGTAGCACAGACTTCTAAAGAAGTTTTGGGTTTATGCCTCTTTAAACAACTAGATAAAGAGCATTGCCTTTGAGGATTCTTCAGCTTGGAAAATAAGACACTGAAGGGGAGACTGAGCAGAAATCCATCACATCGGGACAGCTAAGGAGAAGAATGACTCTTCATCCTTTTCCATTCACACAGAAAAGGGTATATTTTGAAAATATCATGCAGAAGACTTAAACCAATAAGAAAAGGCTCCCGGGAGTGTTACTTGAATGTTTGTATTTACACCAGATCTTACAAAAACACTGCCACCACTAAGTTTTTCCATTAGAAAGGCTCCAAGTTGCATAAGGACCCAGAGAATGGTTTTCCCTCAAGAAGACGGAGAGCAAGCCCCATGGTGTGCTCGTGTCCATGCCAACAGACTGTTTAATGGCTGTGGCCGGGGGAATCTCCTAGCCCCTGGGATGGGATCCACGGTTGAAGCCAGGAAGCCGGAGGGCTTTTGCCTCCCTCTCTCCCCTTCAATGTCTGATGTCTCTCATTGCTAATGAGACACCAAAGAGAAAGTACAAAGGAATGTTTGCAGGTGGAGAGGGATGGATAAATTAATATATCTACTGGAGGGCACATGGGGGTAAAGTCAGAGTCTGCCAAGGCCTGATCCAGCAAACCAAAGTTAATGTGTTTGTTTTCACAGTGCCTGGCCATGTTGTCCTGCCAAGGCTGTGACAAACCTGTTGACCAAAACCATCAGTGTTAACCTTCCATTTACCAATGAACAATTTTATCCACCTTATAACACTAACCCCATTTAGAAAATTAGAAGAAAAAAAAAAAAAAGAATCAAAGCAAAGCACTCCTGCAAGCTGGTCCAAACTTTGACTCCCAATCCTTCCCTGGGATAAGTTTGCCAAGTCACTCCCTGCAGGAAGCAGAAACGCACCCTCCCACACCTGGGGAGATAATCCTCTCAGCTTCTCATTTTCAGGCTGGAGTGCCCCTCGAGGGATGCAAGATGTGACTCCTAGCAGGTTATCCTTGCACAAGGAACAATTTGCAGGGCTGGCAGAAGGCATGCAAGAAGAGCCATGCCAAAGCATTCTTGACACTGGGGTTTCTTATTCCCTGAGCTGAGTATCTGCAAAGTTGTTTCATTCTAAAGGAGCCAGGATGGCTCAGACAGTGCAAAAAGCAGAGATTGCAAATCTCATTAATTTTAGTTGAAAATTTTGTTGTGCATCCCCCAAGAGGAAGCAACCAGAAGGGCTGTGGGCTCGCAGGGGTGGCATCACTTTCCTCAAGGAATTTTCTCCCTTCGTTTGGGAGACAACCAGGAACACGAGCATGGCAGCTGAGTGGCATCAGCAAGGAGCTGCTCTGCAGTGGGGAAGAAGCTCTGGGACAGAGTGAAGGGGGACTGGGGAGATGGGACTTGGTCCTGCGTGCCACCGCAGCCAGCCGCCTCCGCCTCTCCGGCAGCATTCGGCACAGGTGACATTTACACAGGCCAAAGCGGACCCAGAGTCTGTCTGTCAGGTAATGCAAGGTGACAAGCGATGCCGGGGATTCAGCCGGCTGCAGCAGGGCCCCACGGAGCGGAGGGCAGCCCTGCGTCGGGGGGCTGGCACAACCCCTGCCCGCCAGCACCGAATGCAGCTCCCAGGCTGGCCAGGTCTCCCACGGCTGCTGGGGAAGATGGGCTGAGACCCTGCAGCAAGCGTCAGGGCTTGCTACTGCCTTTAACCACCTACTCCAGATTCAAGACCAGCTTATTTCTGATCCACAAATGGGGCTTTATGCCTTTCTCCTCTGTCTCCCTCCTCCACATTAACGCTTGGACAGGTAGTTTCCTGAAGTGAGGCTCTGGGAAGCCTGATACTGTATTTTCCATTGCCTGGGGTGGATTCTCCGATGTCTCCGCTGCAAACATGCAGTGTCCAGAGAGTCCAGCGCATCAATCAACCCCACACAAGCTCTCTTGCACAGAAATGCACACTCCCCAGCCTCCCCTCTGTAGGAAGCAAAGTTGAAAAAGAAGAAACTTGCTTCTGGGTGCATCACTTTTTCAAACTGCCTCTGCAAACATATCCCGTCACTTGCTGCAGAGAGCAGCCGCGGGTTGGAAGCATGGACACAGACACAACATCCATCCTGTCGCTTTAGCATTCAGAATAAGGATCGTAGCTTTTTTCAGCATAGACAACCCTGCTGACATTAGAAAAAACAATGAGGGAAGACCCGAAGAACCGCTTGGTTCTCTGCATTTTGAAAACAGTGCCCTTGAGGACACAAAGCAAGAGCGTTACATTCATCCACCAGCCACTGAATCCAAGCAAGGGTGCAAAGCATTGACACTCCATTTCCACCTGTGTTTCACCTCCACCTTAGGAAAATCCTAGTCCGGGAATGGGAAACTTGCATGAATAGCCTCACAATACCAGGAACAGATGAACGCCATCTACATCACAGCAGATGCATAGGTGTCCGCCTGCTCCAGGTCCACCCCACCAGTGCTAAACAGCCAGCTCTGGGCTAACACAGCTACACTGGTCCAGGACCAACACCAGCTCAATAAAGCCAGCTTGGGTACCTCTGTGCTGTGAGGTCTTCACTTGTGCAACTGGGGCAGGCGTGGAGGCAAAGACTACCTGAAAAAGTACACAAAGGCAGTAGGAAGAGAAGCATCCAGGCTGCAGCCAATAAAGCTGTCATGATTTTCACCCAAGTCATGGCAGAAAACACCAGCCTCAGCAATGACTTTCGAGCAAAAAGTGAAATAATGCATAGACACCAGACCTATGGTAAACATGGGGGTCTTTCTTAAGCTAAGGCCTAAAGAAATCCTACCTCACCAGCAGCAGGGATCCCTGGCAAGCCTACAGTTTCACAGTTCTACTTTTTAATGTCAGAAAGAATCAAAACATGGAACAAACTCTTCAAACAAAACACACACTTGGCCTTCTGAGGCCTCAGATATACACAGAAAGGATTCATTTCATTGGCACGAACAATTAAAGGCACAACTTGCAACACGCGACTAGCAAAACTCTGCAGATACTTCATCCTCCGCAGATCAGAGAGCACCGAGAAGTGGGAAGAGACATGCAAAGGGCTGATTTCAGCAGGGAAACAGGGTCGTGCGTGGGAAATAGAACTTGGCAGGCAGCTCATCCCTGGGGATGACCTTCAAGGGGAAATACCTGTGAGAAACACTCCTGAAACTGGATGCAGTTTTGTAGCAGGGAACCCATGTTAACTGGAATCAAAGGAAGTTTTGCTGCTGTGACTGCAGAAGTACTTTCTATTTAATACGTGGAAGCTGAACTGAAAAACTATTCCCTCTCTGGTGGTATTTTAAAACTGTCCAAGCAGATTTCCACAGGCAGTACAGACTGCCATGCTATTATCCTACAGAAAGGTTATTGTTTTCGCCTTGCTTTTAAGGTCCAGTAACCTTTGTGCTTCCACCTTTCCGCTCAACTCTTGAGTCAATAAATAATGCAGCCTTCCCTGACAGCTAACATCATGGAAGAGCAAAAATCTTGGAGGTGTGTTGGCACATATGTGAGCAGGGGGCTTTTGCAACCAGGATCTGCACAGGGCAGGAGACCAGCAAGCAGGAGAAAGTTTCCCTCGGCTCTTGAGGTGATGGGAAGAGCTTCTCCCTCTCCTCTTGGGTAATGGTCCTGTGCTGCTCCTGCAAACAGGGGCCACCCAAAACGTGGGTGCAGGTTCCAGAGCCTGGAAGCATGAGACTTTCACCTGCCCAGGCTCAGCATCAGATGCTGTTTTGAGGTCTTGGTCTGGTTTGACTGAAATTGGACAGTGGGTCGATAGCTTAATACATCCAAGGCTATTTGGACAGGGCACACTTGCAGTGTAACCACATATTCTCCTCTTCAGGAAGCGAGGCTAAGGAGGAGGGAAGGAAGGAGCAAAGTCCACAGCAGCTACACAGGCTTTGCCACGACTTTTACAGGAACCATGCATTATAGGCTAATGATGTGGTGATCTTGCCAACCAACAACTCCACTGGCAACTGTTTGTCAGGTAATTAAAGTAAGGACTGCAAGCCAAACTATCCTATCAAGGACACCCATGATATCTTAACAAAGTATCGCATCCCCCTGGTGACAACACTAATACACAAGAGTTGGCTAAGTTTCCCATCCCCAAAGGAATAAAATTCAAAGTTGTTGAATTTGAGGCCTGAAGGGGTTATCATGATTATCCGATCAGATTTCCCACCTGGCCAGTGATATGTCCAGCACAGTGTTCACCAGGGAAAAACATACACAAAGTCCTAGAGTGCTCTTTAAACTCCTAGAGAGGCTACAGGTCCCCGTCAGAAAGGATTCCACCAGCTGCAGGGTCTGTGGTTGCCCCAGGCACTGAAGGCAAGCATCTATGGCTTTAAAAAAACCCCATACATTTGCATTTCCCTAGCTGCAGGAGTTGCCCGATCACTGGGCTTTCTCACACCTTTGCTGGCTCAGAGAGCCCTCTTCACACACGCGGTTACAGGTACGGACATGGCAAGCTGTGACACCCAGGGAAAAAGCATCCTTACGGGTCACAAAATCCGGGACTAACTGGTGTCAGACACCTGGGCAGCAACCCCACTCCAGGCACAGCCCGGCTTTTCCTCTGCAACTCTCCCTATCCCCCAAACGACCCGGCCTAACCCTGCTTTGCTTGGGAGAGCTGACAAGATTGCAGCCGGAGGTGGTGTGGCCACTGGCCAAGTTACATGAGTACTAATAAAAGAGACTTTGTGGAAGAGCCAAGTTAGTTCTTGTCCCCAACCAACTGTGCCAGAGAGTGTTCAGAGCGAGAGGACAGCCAGCACAGCGTCTTTCCTTGCCCTGGGAGCTGGGCTCCGGATGAAATGCATCCTTCTGGAGAATAAAAACACATTTTGAAGCCCTTTCCTTGCTCCTCTAGCCCAGGCTGAGAAGGCAAATTCATCTGCCTTAGTGCACATCTCCTGCTTGAGGTGGTGACTCAGCTGGACACTTCCCCTGCTACTCTGCAGACTCATCTGTAACACCTCACTCTGTCCTTTGCCGGCCATAAATGATGTGCTTATGGCCAATTTGTCTATGTACTTTCTCAGATAAATTCAATGGTGTTATTCAGACATTTCAGATCAAAGTGACAGTTACACACCCCAAACGTGTACCTTATTTCTAACCTGAATGCTGATAAAATTAAGTTAAAGCATACATAACAGTAACTAGAATGCAAAAAAGAAGGTCAGAGATACATAGTTTTGTTTGGTTGGGTTTGGGGATTTTTTTCCTGTTATTCTCAAAATGAAGCCCAGGATTTCAGACCTAAAGGAAATCTGAATACAGTAAGAGCTAGATGTGCTGAACAGGAGCAGCCACGTCACCTTAACTCTGTCCCCCAGCAACACCGAGCAAGAACAAGGAATGCAACAAGCTGAAAGTCGAGTGTGGACACTGCCCTTTTCCACCAGCCTGATGTCCCTCGCCATGGTGACAGCTCAGGGGGGACCAGGAACAGTTTCATAGCTGTTTTTAAAGGAGGGGGGGAGCAGCAAAGATGATGAACATATTGCGGGCCTGCCAGAGGTGCAGGTTGCCTGCACGGGCTTTGCGGTGAGGATCCCAAGGCAGTGGGAAGCTGCCACACCACCCCCCATCAACGATCGCCACGATCCATCTGGCTTCATCCCCCTCAAAGACTGAGTGCCCTCTCACTAAGTCCGTGAGCCCTAAAGTTGTCTGGCCAGAGCAGCCTTCTCAAACAGCCAGAAATCCCTCTCTGCAGGCCCAGCAACCCAGGGAGAGGCAGCCCCCACACCACCCCAGACCCCTCCAGCTGCCTCGGGAGCATGGAAGCCCTCCAGCTTTGAGGGGAGGGTAGATGTGAGCAGTGACCTGCAGTTCTAACTATAGAACTAGTCCAGGGAGCATAGGAAGTCCAGAGGGACTGTTTTAAGGCAGCTAAAACAACACTTGGCCGATGCTTTTGCCTCTCTGCCAGAGGTTCACCTGCAGAAAAGTCCTCTGTTTTTCTAAACCAGGTTAGAAGCAGGTTAAAACACCAGTTAAATATACTTCCGAATGAAAGTTGAAAGTCCCAGTGTAACGAACTGCCGGTGGGCTGGAGGGTTGTGCCTTTGCCTTTATTGGTGGAGCAGAAATACCTCTGCTCCTACTACCGATTTCCCCTCCTAGAAATCTCCCGAAGGCTCTGCTGAGCGCTGTGACCCCTGTCTCTACAGGGATCTCTGCCTGGGTCCTATGAAGATCAGTTTGAACGTCACTTTTCTTTTGTTTCCTTGTAAATTTGTAACACTAAACAAATTAAAACACAAATAACACTTCCATTGTTTCAGTCTGATTGCAGCAATAGGAGAGAGTTTGGCTTGCCTTTGCTTGTTCCTTAAAAACACCAGTGAGCAATAGATTCTTCTCCAACAAGTCGTCTCTTTTCTGCAGAAACCGCCTGAAAAAAGGTATTTTGGGAAGTCAAATGCTTGTGAAACTTGGGGATAACTTGATGCAATACCAGTGACCTTTCTGGAGTTGGAGAATTACCAGAGGTGAGCATCTGGTGCAAGAGGGAGGAAAAAAGAAATTACACATAGCGGGAACATTCCATGTGCAATCCAATGTCTGCACAAACCTCTTCTCTAGCAGAGAAATAACAGATTGATGTTCACAGCCTGGGGGGGCCTCCAGGGTGAGTTCTGTGGGCATTTACCCACCCTCAAGGGCCTCGAACAACTTGAGAGGCTTTCCAGAGGTACCAAGACTTTGCACATCCACAAGCAACGATGCACTTCCACTTCCCTGGAGCAGCACCAATACTGTGCCAGCAGCCAAGCACTCCAACCTGCCCGCTCCCTGCCTCGGGTGGGGAGTACGCTAGAGCTCCTCAACCCATTCCCCTTACACGTCCTCCCCTTGTTAGGGCAAGAGGAATAACTTCAGATAAAAATAACGAGGGAGCCCCCTGTAATTTCAACGCCCGTTTCCCGGGAGCAGTTCTGGGTGCTGCAACCTGGGCTCAGCAGGAGCAGGGGCACTGCAGGCACAGCCCTTCCCAGACCACTGTCGCTCCCTGCAGCCTCGTTTGGCTAATTGGACGCAGCTTCACGCGCTTAGGGTGGTATCTGTGTCACAAGGGCAGGAGACAGCCCCTGGGCAAGGAAAGAGCCCTCTGTAGATCCTCTCAGGGGCTGTGTTATGTTTTAAAAGTTTTTTGTTGTTGGGGTTTTTTTTTTCCCTCCAATAACTTGATAAAAATGCAAATAGAAAGACACTTACTTGGTTTGATCCTATTCTTTCAAGCAATAGGTTTGGTCCATCACACACCAATATACAGATGCGTCTCAAATGCCGTGTGCTAAACTTCAGAGCAAGGACTTAAGCCTGTATAATATCAGCTTGGTTTGGCTGTGCTGAATAACCACCAGACAGCTTCAATCATAAGCACAAGGCACTGTAGGTTACAGCCACATACGAGCTAGGTTAAACACGTTTTTAAACTCCCTTTACTCCCCCCATACTCCTACTGTGGGATCAGCTCCTCCGCCTAACCCAGAAGGCACAGATTGCAAACGCAAGTAAAATACTTACTGCCGAAGCCCGCAGGAAACTTAATGAAGTGAGGATAATTCCCATACATGTTTAATCTTCAGTTCATCTCTTGCCTTTTTAAACACAACTGCCTCCTCTAACTTCAAAGCTGCCCGGACCGTGGCACAGCCCGCTGGGGTCGGGACATGGCTCGGCAGGAGCGGGGCTTCTCGGGGGGTGCCGGGGCAGCTGTCTCCTCATCCTCGCTTCACGCCGGCGGCAGCTGCTCACCGGGATGAGACATGCTCTTGTTCGCCGTCGCTCAGGGCTGGCTCCTGCGCTCAGCTGGCTTCGCTCCCTGCGAATTCACGGCACACCGTCCTGGGAGCATAATCGCCCGCAGAAGACGCCGATCAATGCATGACAGCTCCGGTATAGATCAGAAATTGGGAGGAGGGGGGAGGTTAAGTTGTTTAGGGGAGGAGCATCGTGGGGAAGGAGGGGAGTGCTTTGCTTTTCCGCCAGTGAAGACTCGATGCTGTTTATTAATTACAGCACCCCCAGCCATGTGAAGGTGTTTTCCAGATGGGTCTCTGAGGGGCTGGTCCCCAAGGAAGGGCTGGAGACCCGAGGATGGGCTGGCTGACAAACTGGGCAGGAGCACATGTGCACCATTCCAGCGCTTTGGGACCGGGGCTCCATGTTCCCATCTCACACTAAACCTCCCCTCAGCTGTGCTCCTGGCATCAGGTTGTGACCCTGTGGTGCTGGACCACTGTCACCCCTAGGAAACACAATGGGGTTGAACAGGAATAGGACCTTCCTGGGGCTGGTAGAGTTGGAAGCTCAACTCCCCTTGCCAAGCCTTATCCAAAGGAAGTCCAAAAAATACCCAAACCATCCCAAAAAAAAGCATCATCAGCCAGTTGCTAAAGCTGTATGGGATGACAACCTGTGCCACACACAGTCAGTAAAGCATTCACACCATGGCAGCAGAACACAGCTGACTTCACAGACAGCCCATACCTACACCCACAACTTCAATTTAATGCCCACCCATCCTGCCTGCATGAAATGGGTAAAAATAAGGAGAAACAGGCAGCCACTTGCCAGATGGGGGCAAAGCCACATGCAGGCTCCAGCACTTCCTCCTGGTGCTCTGGAGGGGGAGCAGCCCCAGCTCCCTTGCCCAACAAGCCCCCTGCCCAACTGCTGCAATGCTGGGGAGAGGCAGGGATGCAGGGAGTAGCACAGTTTCTTCTCTCTGATCTGGGTGACCTCAGATGAAGTCACCTCCAAGGAATGGAGGAGGGAGGAATTTTGCCCGAGGTTGCAAAGCGAGCAGGTCTGCGGTGACTTATGTGCAGAGGAGGCGGCAGGTTGCAGCCCTGCTGTTGGCACCAGCCCCATGGCAGAGAAAGGGGGTACAGGGCTAGCAAGGGGCTCTGCCTTCCCAGTGAGACCATGACACACCCCCACGTATGGGATGGGGAGCACACCAACAACCAGCAAGACAAAACGAGGGAAGAACAGCTGCTTACGATGTTTGGCATCCTCCAAGGACCTGCTGGCTCTTTGCCCCTCCCGGTCACCCGAGGGCCCACGCTACCCTTTGGCACTAAGCAGGGTACGGGGGGAAGGAATGCAATGCGCCAGCACGGGGCTGTTCACAGCATCCGCCGCAGTGCAGGCTGACGCTGGCTAAGGTGCTGTCAGCCCCGAGGTATCACATGTGCAGGAGGAGGAAAGGTTATCCTTCTTAGCTCTGTTTCTTCTTTCACTCTCAGGCATCGCTGTACCCATTTCTCTAGCCAGAGAGTTTAAGGGAAGGTGGGTTTCCCCCCCGCTTCTACATATTAATACATTTTTAAATTATTTTTACAAGGTGGTTTGGCTTCCTCCCACTTCTGCTCTGCATCTGCATGCAAGCACCTGGTAACATGCACTATCAGGATATCACGACGCGGACACACAGTTCTCTACGGGCAGCAGGTACATCAGAGCAGCTCCAGGACTCGGAGTTCATCTGGGCACGGGAGCCTAACACTTGGGAGGGCATCTCCATGTAGCAGAATGAACGGATAACCAGGCTTGTGCCAGGGGCAAGGAGGTTTATAGGCAATAGAATCAGTATTCTGCATAGCCCATTAGCTGTGGCTCAGGTATATACACACTAGATATTCTCATAGTTTAAAAAAAAAAAAAGTTTTTTTTAAATATAAGAAAAGAATCAGTATTTAGAGTAAGTTCTACTGAGGCAAAACCACAAGTATCTGCAATCTGGCTGGGGGAATGCAAACCGAAGAGATTGCTCTCGCATTTTCTATCTGGGCACCTTTCACATCTCATTTGTTTTATTGCACACACATAAATGGCACTGCAGAACTGAGGCAGCCGAGCAGCATGCCTACAGCTCACAGGGCACAGGCTACAAGTTCCAGGGAAGGTGGACCTGAGGGTTTGATGACCAGCACATACACAACAGTGTGTGCTACGTCCCGTCCCTTCCCTTCCCGCTCCCTGTTCAGCCCAGCTCGTGTCCTCCCTTACCACCACCCCAACACGCAAGGATGTCCCCAGCAAACACCCCAGGTAAGGACCAGCCCTCCTCCAAGCACTCACAGCTATAACCAGGTTCAGGGTCCTGTTTCAGTGGGTGCTGCCCCACCCACATGCTTATGGGTCCTTCCAAAACCCTCCACTCGGCACTAATCCAAGTGGCATCAGGTCACTGGCATCCACAGGGATTTCTCACCTGCATGCTAAGTTTGCTAATTCAGGATAACACCGGCTTTGCCTCCGGTGCTGTTCTTTAACAGTCGCACCAGGATCCCTGTTAGGGGCAGGGATGCCCCACAGCCCCGCAGGCAGAGACCCAGAGCACTGCGGAAGAGCCAGCTGTAAGGTGGCTTGTCTCAATCTTTGGATAGAGAATTGGATTTCTCAGCAGGGCAGGCTTTTTTTTTCCCCCTTCTGTGACATGACTGAAAGAAACATTTTTCAATCAAAAACCCCAACAAACAAGCTGCTCCCAAAAGAGATTTTCACACACACCCTTTCAATAAGGTGACATGACTGAAAGAAACATTTTTCAATCAAAAACCCCAACAAACAAGCTGCTCCCAAAAGAAGAGATTTTCACACACACCCGTTCAATAAGATCCGAGACTTCCACAGGAGAGGTACTTTGTGCAGCCCCACACGCAGCCTGCCAGAGGGATGCTTCCCTGAACCAGTGTCAGGGAAAGCTCTGGCACAACGGGAAGCCTGCTTGTCCAGCACCCACCTTTCCCATCATCTGTCCATCACCCTGCAGGGATGCACCAGGACCATTTAACCCCAGCACCCAGAACTGAGCCACCATTTCAAGAGACAAAGCTTCCCTTGCACAACAGTTTTACTTCCACCTGCTTGAGTTGCACCTCCCCACTACCTCAGCCTGGCTCATCCCTTTCCCTCAGGCTGTGCCCCCACCAAAAATCCATGGGGCAGGAGGGGAGCAGAGCCAGCTGCATGGCCAGTTCACTGGGACAGGGAGGTGTGAGCAACGAGGCAGCTTTGCGTTTTAAACGCCAACCGCGCTGAGGTTTAGCAGTAGCATTTGTTCTTACCAACCACACGGTATCTCAGCAGCTTTAATTCCATGCTAATGAAGTTTTAGTGGGGAATTATATTTATTGATCTGCCCAGAGCAAAGAGCCTGATTTTAGTCTGGCTCTGCCAGCACCCCATTCCCCATCCCTCTTTTCTTTCTTCCAGTTCAGAAGAAAGAGGAGAGGAAAGAAGACAAAACAGCTCTGAGCTCCTTAAAAAGGTTGGCAGTCCCAAGCAGTAAGTGGATTACTTTATTGATTTTTTAGCAGATCTGGGTTAGTGAGTGCTTAGTGCTGCAGAACACATGCACACACCGAGCAACTCTGAGGAAACCCCTCCAGGCCTTTTCCACAGGCAAAGCAAGTATCAGGCAACTCATTTAGGGGACCACCATGGGGTTTGGGGTATGGGAAGAGTCCAGCCTCTGTACCCAGATCGGTCTTGTTAAGCATTACTGAATGCTTTTTATTTCCTCCACCGTGGTATGTAAAAGGAAAAGACGTTATGACTGGCATCACTATTTTGGGGGGGAAAACCATGCTGCACCCAGGTGGGACTTGGTGCTGCTGACTGCCACGCAGCAGCCATATCCCGGGGGAGCATCATTCAGAGCAGGACCCCTGACAAAAGAGTGCTGATTCGAGCCAACTGTGATGCACTGGTGTCTCTGCCTCTTCCACCTCCCTGTTAGCTTTCCCAGGCCCATGTACTGCAGCCAGTATTTCAGCAGTGTGTGGAAAAGCATCTCAAAGACCTCCCAGTACTACTCCACCAAGCCTTTTGAGATGCTGGTTTCTGGAAACAGACCCTAAACATGTGAAGGCCTAAAGTGGAATCCCACTCTGCCTCCAAACCAGGAAATCTAAACATTAAATATGGTCCCTTTTCCTTGCATGTTGTTTGGGGTTTTCCAGATTCCATCCATGACAGAGAATCCCATCAGACCCCCATCCCATCTCTGTTTAAAGGCAGAGGCACCCTATGGTCATGCATGCGGCACAGCATATGCAGTAAGAAGGTTGCAGTCCTCGTAACCCTACAGATGCACACGCATCTTCCTCCTGACACACTGCTTCAGCGCTACAGAGCCCCAGAGAAAACCCACTGCCCACAGGGTGCTGGAGTTAGAGCTGGGGTCCCTTTGCATGGCTAAAGAGGTGCAACAGGGTGCACTGACACCGGTGACATGCTCAGGGCCAAACAGGAAGTCAGTGGCAGAGCAGGGACTTGAAACTGGGTTTCTCCAGGCTAACTGATGGAGTGACCCAACCTCATCTAATGTACTAGTTGGCATGGGTCTGGGACAGGCTGAAGTCACCAAAAGCAAGGTGCCCCTTGATTCCCCAGAGATGGAGAGGAAGGGAGCTGCTGCATCAGCCCTTCCCCACCCAGGCCTGCCCTTTCTCCCCGCTGTCTCTTGTAAAGCCATAACCACAGGCACCAACCTAAGAAAATTAGCCCCAGAGCCCCACCGACTAAGGCAATTACCAGCAGCACCACATTCAAACAGCAGCACCACAAACACACCTGCGGGAACACAGCCTGCCCTCCTCTTCTCCCCAGGCCTT